TCACTGCAACCTCCACCTCCCGGGTTCAAGCAATTCTCCTGCCTCAGCCTCCTGAGTAGCTGGGATTACAGGTGCGTGCCACCATGCTTGGCTAATTTTTATATTTTTAGTAGAGATAGGGTTTCACCATGTTAGCCAGGCTGGTCTCGAACTCCTGACCTCGTGATCTGCCCACCTCAGCCTCCCAAAGTGCTGGGATTAGAGGCGTGAGCAACCCTGCCCGGCCAGTAAATTATATTTTTTTTAATGACATCATTGAAGATCTAGATGGCATAAATTAAGACGTCTGCCATCGCATATTAGTAAGGGGACAGTCATTTTTGGAATGTGGAGAGAACACGGAACACCAGTCACCAAGTGTATGGAGGATGCAGAGCTTACCGTTCTCCACTGATGGGGGCCTCCGGAAAGAGCTGTGCCTTGTGGTTGGCCTGGCCGTCTTCCGTCCCAAGGTGAAATTCCTTTAAAACCTCAGATTCTGACCTATGTCTTTGAAGCAGCTGCTTTGTAGCATCCCTCTCTTTACTGTCCTCCTTAGGACTGTTTTGTGGTTCCGTGAAAATGTTTAGCATCCTTGCAGAATTACTTGAGAAGGGGCTGGTACCAGTGTAAAGAGTCTATTTCTGTAAAACTACGAACTTTTGCATAGGGAATTTATTCTAAGCAGGGCATAGCCATGGTCCAGAGCTGCTGCTGCTCATTGCCAGTCCTTGCGGCCGGCGGTGATTGCTGGACAGAGCCTCTGTAGTCTGACTCTCATCCTTGGTGTGTCAGCCCGCAGCAGACTGCCAGCCGTCCATGACAATCATATGAGCTCAGCCACAGACCTCAGCTGGCGGTTTGATCCCTGGCAGTTCCCTCGAGCAGTACTGGTGAGAAGCTCCCCACATTTTCTCACTCTTAACGGTTCATTTTTCATAGTAGGAAGGGCCCTTGGCCTTCCCAGTGACTCTGCCAGAGTCTCCACCAGCACTGAGCTCAGAGGAAAGAAGAAAAGGGCCAGGAGTCAGACGTCACACCCGGGGGCTCCCCTTTCCCATGCACAAGTGTTGGCGTGCGTCAGTCCCCTTTACAGAGGGGTGGATGTGTCCGTGGAGAAGGGGCCTTCTCTTTTTCTAATTGCACTATACGTGTTCTAGCTTCAGTCTGGAGAAACTTAAGACCTCCATGGGGTCGTGATCCATAGACTTAGCAAGTCTTGCCTTATCTATGGAACTCGATGGTGAGAATTGTGACCATTGTCTGATGTCCATAGTTCCTTCCCCCAAGATCGTTTCTTTCCACGAATTGTGTTCATCTGAACCATTTTATTTTTTATTTACCAAAGTACTGTACTTGGCTATTTGCAGTGTTTTCAAAACCAAATGTTTCTTTTTTTTGTGTTTTTAATCTTCGATACTTGGTGCAATAGAAGCTGCAAAGATGTGCCACTTTATCTATGAAATGGAGTTTTGTATACCAATAAATTCTAGTTTAAAAACAAAGTTTTAAGTTGTTTTTATTAGTATCTGACCACCGTTTGAGTGGGCAGGGAGACTGAGTGTGCTGGAAATGTCCTTTTTAGAGACGTTGTGTGGAAGGTTTGTGTGTGTGCATGTGCTGGATTGAGTGTTCTCGGTGTGTAGTCCTTTGGGATCTGACTAAGCTTAGAACAGCTGATTTTTGCTTTAGTGCAGCTAAGTGCAGCCACCACACACAATGGCAGGGCCATTCTTAAGGACTACACACTTAAGATTTCTGCCTGATATCTGAGAGCACCTCTTGATAGTTTGAAACTGTTTAAATGTGTAGCAGTTGTCTGTGAGCGGCCACTTTGGGCTCCTCTAGAACTCTCAGTGTTGTTTGACCCCATTCCAGGAGGAGGCTCCCTGCCAAGGCACAGACAGCACCATCTGGGGCATGACTCACCTAGAAGGGTCCACAGGAAACCAGAGCGAGGGGAGTCCTTCAGTGCGTCCAGCAGGGGCCCCATCCACACAAGCGCTCTGGCCAGGCAAGGACTGGCTCTAAAGACCTCACCATATCATGGTTTTGACTTTGAGACTCCCATTCTCCCGTTCTTCATTTTGTATTCAACAAGCAGCCTTCTGAATTGGCTCCCTGATGCCTTGATGTCAAAAAGGACTGTATGGTTTCCTGGATGAAAGGCAAGAATATTCCAGCTCCTGCAAGCAGATTCTCCTACAGTCTCTCAAGCGATCTTCCCTGTGTGGTGGTTCTTCACTCACAACTGAGAGACCCGTCATCTCTGGATAGACAAACACTGTCTGGTTCCTGAGCCCGTGAGGCCCAGATTCCAGACCCCGTTAACCTGAGATTCTTCCAGAAAACCTGCTATGGTCCAACGTGATGTCCCAATCTAGGTGCTGCCCGCACACGGAAAAACTTCCATGGCCTCCTTAATCCCATTCCAGGGATTCAGCTGGGGCCAGGTGGCCGCTTCTAGGGATTTGAGGGGCTTCCTGTTTGGGCAGCGTTGGACCAGGTGACCTGTAAGATCCTGTGTGGGAGATAGGATGAGTCTTTAAGGACAGAGAAGTGTTCTTGAGCCAGGTAGGGACACGTGGCTGTGCCTTTGTCTCTTCTTCGTAACTGCTCATGGTCACCTTGGAGAAAGCCTGGCTAAAAACCTGGGTGTTTAGAGTTGCATCAGCCAGACACCACCCCAGGCTTCTGGCCTTTCCCTTCCTCCAATGCACAGACACAGAGTGTGTGTCTTGAGGTACAGTTCATAAAAAGCCCTGTTCCAATATGGTTTTGGCTGGACAGAATGGTTTTTGCTGACGGAATGGGCACTCTCAGACCATTTAGATGCAGAGATTTAGAACTTGGTTGCAAAGGCTTGAGGCCAGTCCTGTCACTTCACAGATTCTGGCTTGGCAGAAGGAAACATTTCCTACCTTCTGGGAGAAACTCGTCCGAACCGCCCTATGGTAGAAGGACTTGGGTATCCCCAGAGGATTGTTTCTAGTCAATTTATTCATCCATCCAAACATCCAAGAATCCATCGAGTGAGCCCCTACTCTGTATGGGTCCTTATTTCTGGGCGTTGAAACAGTCATGGATCCTGCCTTCAAAAAGCCTCCAGTCCAGGAGTGAAAGTGGACATGTCACTGACCCAGGAGACAGCATATGCCGTAAAGGAGGTACTGATGAGAGGGCTGTGAGTTCAAAGAATTCGGGAAGACTTGATGGAGGAAGTGATATTTGGACGAGGCACGAAAGGGGAGACAGGACGCAGAAATGGGAGCGAAGGCATTTTGGACTGAATGGCCAGTGCAAGCGAAACCTAGGAGTGGGATGCTCCAGTGTTTAGGACA